CTTGAGAAAGAGTTTAGGTAATCAGATCATCTAATCAAGAAACGGATTGAATGCATCTTAGAGATAAGTTGCATGGTTCATTTGGCATCCATTCATACCTGAATTGATGACCTTCAAATTCTTTGTTCTTAATGCATCTATGGCGATTAAATTTCTGATAGAGATATAAGAATTATTGCTCATAGATAAAGTGGGTTGTTCTCGAGAGAGGCTGCTCATACAATTAGGGTTTCGCCAACCCAAGACTGAATTCACTTCGGTTGGGCTGGTTAAAGATTTAAGTGCTAAACCGGTTATGCTAGTTCTTGCATGCAATAATTCCTTTTATCATTAAAGGTGGTCTGATTCGAAACTGCTTAGGGTAATTTGCTAGTTAGGAGTTAGGTTTTTCTTTGTTCAATCTTTCAGTTTATCAGATAACTAAAGGTTGATTCAGTACTAGTAGTTGTTGGATCAATCCTCGTGGGAACGATACTCTACTCATCATTATATTACTTGATCGACTAGTGCTCTTGCTAGTGTCTTCTAAGCGCATCATGTTGTTTGCTAGAAAAGCAGCAAACAAGGGTCCACCGTAGATTCCACAATTAAGGCCGAATACATTACTACAGGTGAAGCTGCCAAGGAATTTGTTTGGATGAAGAAGTTCATTCAGGAATTAGGGGTAGTTCCATCCAGCACATCACCCATTCCATTGTTGTATGACAACACTAGAGCCATTGCTCAGGCTAAGAGCCACGAGCCCACTTGAAGTCGAAGCGCATCGAGAGGAAGTACCATGTAGTACGGGAGATAGTTGGAAGAGGGGACGTCTTGACATAGAAAGTGTTTGAGAAACACGTGGAAAGTATGGGACTCCGGCTTGTACCCAATTGGACCTAAGTGCAAGTGGGAGCTCTTAAACAGTTATGCCCTTAGCTCTAATCAAATTGATGTACCTTTTGGCATTTATTTGTAAATGAATAAAGTACATAACTGATTCATGTCATTGTGGTGTGTTTCTGTATAATACCCTTAAACTAGACACTTAATGAGATTCGTGTTAGTTTAGAATCTTCACAGCCGTTGGATAGATCTGTGGATATTTGTCCTGCCAATGCTGATACTGATGTACCACCAATTTGGTTGGTGTTGATTGTCTCAGCTGCCAGGGTGAGGCCTGAGGTACATGTAATGTGGGTTTCCTTGAAACCTTGAACCTGACCGAAATTCCAGTATTGGCCTGGACCTTAGAGATAGATGTGCAAAACTAGAATGTTACACTTGGCCCCTAGACTCGATTATGGTACTGCAATGGGTATCGGATTGGACTATCTTTGAAATGCCAATCAATGAGATCCTTAGAGAGGGTCAAAATCTGGGTATGTTGGGACAGTCCGAGAATTCATCTGAGTGGGTGATCATTGTGATAGGATCAGCCCCTTTGTCGGACAAAGTGAATGATTGGGGATGCACTCTCTCTAATGGAAACCTAAACTGTCGGCAGTTGATTTCAACTGTTGAAATTTGTTTTTGCAAAATATATTTATATAAAGATATACATATATATACATGTTATGGTTTCAAAATGTTTGCAAAAGGTTTTAATTCCCAAGATCCATGAGAGTAAAGAGTGTAGCACTGTACTTTGCAACCGAGGGAGAGGTCCTCTTTTGGCGGGCAGTGTTTGATCATTATGGGCTGAGAGGTTAAGTATAAGCCCATTGAGGGTAATGCCTGATGGGCTAATCTTGCATCTGCCTATAGTCCTTGGGTTTTCATAAGGTGGCTGGACCCAAAGACCATTTAGTATAAATGTTGGGCCCTGCCCATGGTGATGAACTCAGGGGTTCACTGTCTCCTATAGTGAATTGGGCTATGCCTTGTAACAAAGTCTAGGCTGAACCCATGTAGCTGATGTGTAGATCAATGTTTGGGTCCCACGCCATATAGAGAGAGCCAACTAGGTAGCAGGTTAGGAGGTTAAGTGAGCACATAAACTTAATGGGCCTAAAGCCCAATTCGAACTGGGTTAATAAGATTAATTAAATGGGGGCGGATCTGGGATTTGGATCAACAGATAAGATAAGGAGTTATCAACTTAAAGAGTCCAAATCCAAATAAATATTTGGATCAAAGGAACTCCTAATTTGATTAGGAAGGTTGATCTTTATCTGCAGATAAGATGAGGGATTATCCCTATCTATTAAAGAGAGTTCAGATCCAAATAAAATATTTGAATTAGGAAACTCCTAATGGGATTACGAGATTCTCTCTTTAAAGCTATAAATAGGAGAGCAGGGCGGACCTCCAAAAGCACAATCGCTGAATACAGAGAGAAGACTACACAGTTTGACTACTTTTGTCTTCTGCTCTTTTCTCCCCTACTCTTTCCGCCCCTACCCAGTTCGATATCTACTTGTGGGAGTGATCAATAACTGTTCTTGATATTGCTTTTTGCTAGAAGAGGCAATCTAAAGTTGTGCTCACCATCCCTCCACTACATTCTTGCTGAAGAATTTGGTTCTTGCTAAAGAGTCATGCTGCTGATTCTGCTTCACCTCACACTGTGTCATCTTCAGTGGGAGCAGTTTTTGGTTTTCTCCTTGGGCGTGAACACCTTCATTGGGAGTTACTGTTTCTCCATATCAGGTATACCACTCTCCTCCCTTTTGGTTTCAAATCTGGTTCCGGTTTGGTTCAAGATTGATCCTTGAAAATGCAGTTTTCTAAAATA